CATGCGGGCAAGATTCTCCAGCCAGACCCGCATTGACCATTGATACTAATTACCAGCGATGGCACGTTATTGACCTATTGACTAAAATCACGTTATCCCATCAAACCATCCCCTCCATAAACTTATCAAGCTTAATCTTAAAGTCCACTCAATCCTACTTCTTGTTCAGCCAATTACTCAGACAAACAAGCATTCCGTGTTGGGGGAGGACGGGGTGGGTGGAGTAAGCAATAACTTGTGCAGGAGGAGGGTCTGGGAGGACAATGGGGAGGAGCAAGCAATAACTTGTGCAGGAGGAGGGTGAGGGAGGTGTCTTGCTGCTGCTTCTGGAAGGGTGGTTTCTGGTACTGGGCTCGCCTCCTTTTACTGAGCTAGGAGGGCTCCCTTCAGCTGAGTGAGCCCTTGTTTGCAAGGGAAGGTGGATTTTTACCTCAGGGACTCCTCATACTGCAGGGGAGGAGAAGCTGGTGCAGGGAGGCTGAGCTCGCCAGGGGGGTACCCTTGGAGTGAGCGGCCGGCTCGGCGCAAATGGGCACGATTCAGGGGGGTTGGTCCCAGGTGTGAGGGGTCAGCCAGGAACAACAGGGCTCGGGCTGGCTACGGTGACGATATGTCCTGTTTTGGCCAGGACAGTCCCCTTTTTCAGCTCTGTCCCGGCCGTCCCTACTTCTTCTCCAAAACTGGGTATTTGTCCCAGCTCCAAGGCAGAGTAGAGAGAGGTGGCTGCTGCCTGGGGATCAGCTGAAGGCAGCAGAGCCCGCCAGCAGGAAATTGGAGAAATTTGCTGCTGGCGGGCAGTGCTGGCTTCGGAGCTGACCCCTGGGCGGCGCGGAGCTCGGGGGGGGGGGGGGGGCCCCCGCCACAGGGGGCAGGTGGCTCACAGAAGGAGGGATCAGCCTCAGCTGCGGACGGCACAGGGCTCGGGGGTGGGGGGTCTGCCCCTGAGTTCAGGATGAGGGTCAGTCCCAGCCTTGGGCAGCACGGTGGGAGGGGTCAGCCCCAGCTGTGGGCAGCACAGGGCTGGGAGGGGGAGATCCCACCGTGGGCAGTGCAGAGCTCAGCGGGACAGCTCCAGCTGCGGGCAGCATGGGACTCAGCCCCAGCTGCAGGTGGCACAGAGTGGGTGGGGGTGGGGGGGTCAGCCCCAGCCCTGGGAGGCATGGGGAGGGTGGTTCCAGTGAGCCCTGCGGGGTGTGTGTGTGCGCGTGCGCTCCGGTGAGCCCCTGACCGTCCTCATCCCTGCGTTTTTAAAGTAAAAACAGAACTACCTTACTTTCTGTAGCCTCTTCTCTTCCCACCCTCTGGTGGCAGCTTGTGTTACTGCGCCTGACCAAACAGGTTTCTCAGAGCAGCTCATGCTGCCCTCCCGCCCAGAGGGTCTGTGATTAACGTGTGTTAAAAATATGAACGTGTTAATTGTGCTGTGCGTTAATCCCAGGTGTTAATGGCAGTTAATTGACAGCCCTAATTCAAATAAATGGTGACAACTTCATTGCGCTGAATAAACGGCATTAGAAAAGTTATATCTTACAGCATCATTAAAGTAATGAAGCACAAGTGAAATAAAGTTGCCTGAATTTGCTCATGTAAGCAATATACTATTAAATGCTTAACTCCACTTCAAATAATAATTGTTACAAACAGACAAAGGCAATATTGCCCAAAGTACCTTCCCTTTTAAAAATTTATCTCAGTACCAACAACCTTGAATTCCTCTGAACCCCTCCTCCAGAAATGAATCCAGGTGTTTCTCAAGTGGTTAATATGCTCACTTCCTTTTGTGTGATATAGTTATGCTGGTATTCCCAATTTACTCTAATTTTCAGGTTGTTTCCTCTGCTCTTATCAGCAATAAATATGTCTATTGACTATACCCCTTTACATGATGCCTAGAATTTATGTTGTTACACCTCGGTCTCTTTTATTTTGCAAAGAGAATCAGTTTAACCCTTCCTCACAATTTAGATACTTTAGACTGGGTATCATTTTAGGTGCCCTATGCTGCATTCTATACCAGACAATCAGCTCTTCCCCAAGGGGCCAACTCTGAACAAATTATTTCAGGTATAGCTGTACATTGACAGGGTACTAATATCATCTGGTTTTTTTTTTTTTAAACATCATAGTCTGGTCTAATAACTTAGTACAGAGTTTCTTGTCCCTTTAAGGACTGTTGTGCCCACTTTTTGTTTGATCTCAAAATGAAACAGTGCTGATTGTAGGTATTTCTTGCCAAAAATCTGAAGTTGGGTCCAAATTACATTTCTTAAGCTCCAATTCAAAATGCTTAATTTGGTTTATTTATATCTGTGTTTGTACTTAGAGTAAATATTAATTTTACAAATATATCTGGATACACTATCTATTCTCAAAAAAAATTTCAGCCCAAATCACTTGAACCACATACAACCCCACTAAAATAAAAACTACACAGTGGAAGCAGATTGAGCTTTGACAATGCATACAGATGCAAACAGATGATTTTTCCAATTATCAACACAAGAGAACTTCGCTAATTAGCATGAGTGACTGGGAAACCCATTGATCATTACTGAATTTTGTGAACTAGCAAGGGAACAAAAAACAATAGAAAAGCAAGGATTATACATTACAAAATAGGCTTTGTTCATTTATTTTCTAAAATGTAGTTTAGCTGTAATTATTTATGACATTTCATACTATACTGGTAAATATACAATATTTTTTATAAATAATGAAATCTTTTCAATGTGAAACCTCACTGTAACATTGGCTAATAAATATTTGCCAAGAAGTGCAGAGTTCACCAATTTTGCGATGATTTAACAAAGTGTAAATTAGTGAGGTTTGTATTATAGTTGTTTTACTTCAGAACTTTTCCTTTTGTAGTTTGGAAACTGTGTTGTATTTATATTTAAAATCTTTAATAGGTTCTGTTTAAAAGATGCATACATAGTTAGTACAAGATAAAAATCTAAATAAATTGGTTCATGTTGATCAGTAAGAACTAAATTATATTTTAAGAAAAGTTAACAATTGGATTATTTTGAAACAGTGAAACAAGAATGAAATAGCTAATGTATTGATTCAGTGTATCAAGGAATACCGCAATAAAGCATTCTGGAGTCAGTGAAAAAAAACACACACACACCCAAACCCTTCCCCCCCCCTTTGCATACTTTCCAAATGTCCAGCTTTCTCCTCTAGTGGTAATATGCTGCATGTGTTATGTTAACAAAACATGTTTTTCTAGTCAGTTTGATCCTCTCTCTGGTGTTTATAATGCAATATGAAGAAAAACTGGGAAACGAGGGAGAGGAAATTAGAACACAGACAATTTAAAAAAAACCCAACAAAGTATCTCACTAAACAACAAAAATACAAACTGAAACTATAATGTATTCTTTTGGAATGCTCTGGATGGATTGAGGAACAGACACCATTAGTTATAGACAACATTCACAAAACAATCACATACATAAATAGAACATAGAAACTTAACTTGTAGACATCATGAACCCATCAAAAAGTTATTTTAAAAAATGTGACTTTTATATTTCAAAACTATTAAAGAGCTCTGATAAATTAATTGAAAGTTCAGTAAAAGGTTTTAAAAAACCTGATTTGAAATTTCTGAATTTTTCTTTATAAGTATTTAAATTTCAAAATGACAAAAGCAGCTACTCTTGGAAAACAGATCGTGTAAAAATGTGTTTCTGTTCATATATCAAAATCTTTCAATACTGCTAGAAATCAGTGCCCAGATAGTGTTTAGTACTATACAAATGCCCAAGACAGAAAGTTGGAATGCATTCAAGTAATTTATGCTTAAGAGTGCTGCACGTGTGAAGTCCAGTTTCCAACCTGATATTTTAATTATCCACCACAATTAACATAAATTTGGACTTCATCCTTTTGACACATTTTGTAAGAGTTTCATAACATTTCTCTTATGCCTAGTTAATCTGTAGTGGTCTTCTGAAAAGTTGATTCCATGTTTAAACAAAAAAAAAAAAAAATCAACTTTTACAAAAATATTCAATGAACCAGATTACAGGTATATTTTGTGTAGAGTTCTTTTTATTTTCATGCAAAAATATATGCACACTTAATAAACACCCTTTGATTTTGACTTATTTACAAGATTTAAATTCAATCCCTTTATTCTCAACTGATTTTATAACAATTACTGAATATTTTCAATTACATTAATCTTCAAAATGCACAGACAATGTGCAGCAGCAAATGCAGCAAGTCTCAAAAACAAGGTGCTACACCGTTGCTTCTACATCAAGAGACAGACAAGTATCTGGGAAAGTGGTTTAATTTTAACACTTATACAGACATACAGCTATACCTAGAGAGAGACAGACAGATCTAAGAAAGCAGCTACATCTGCAGAGGAAGGAAACAGCATGTTACAAGGACAATTCAGGGAAGTCAATTATACATAGAACATTTGACAAACAACATAGAGAACAAACTTTGGCATTAATTACCAGGGTACAAAACGCAGCACATTTCAGTCAGTCAATGAAGTGAAAAATGAAGCTCAGCAGCCTGCATCTGTTTGTTAATACTAGCATCAAAAAAGTATTTGACATTTACCAATTAAAACTAGTAACATATCTGTAATAAAACTGTTTAAATGAAAAGTGGACAAGTAAAAATGAAGAATTACATTGCACTTTCTGTAATGTAATGACCAAATGACTCTAGATTTCATTATCAGCTCTATACAGTCACCCCACATCTGAGACACTTGTGCCACCTGAAAATTTTTAAATTAAGGAAGCTCAGACTGGTCTAACACTACTAAATATTTGCTTTTAGTTTTATACCCTGGTTAGGTATCCATTTCACATTGCCTGATTAACATATAACACTATGCTTATCTCAGCCGCTAAGACAAGAACTGAAAAGCATTAGAAATTCCCTGCATGCATTATGTGTAGTGTTAGCAAAAGAGTGAGATGTGGCCCAGTCCATCTGAGGCACAGCAAGTTGCATAACATCATTACCACTTTGCAGAGTCTGTCGTCCTCCGGCCAACACTCCACTAGGTAACATTCCAGTGGGAGTCAAACCCTTGAGTGTCAGCACACTTTCACTCTCCTCCCTATGGTGGAAGAAAAGCAATGACATTTAAAAAAAAACAAAAACAAAAACAAAAAAAAACTATAAAGCCACTTAAATAAGAATTTAAATAAAATAAGGAAAAATATATGTTTGCTATGTTTTATCCATGTCAAGATTTAACACAGCTCAAACTTCAAAGGATTAACTATGGGCAAACATTCCAACCTGGGGAAGAAATTATCTGCTAGATACTAGTCTTTTCCTCTGTCTACAACTTAATATATATGCAAAATAATTATGGGTCAGACTGCTTTCCCCTTTTTTACATGAGTGGTCTTATTGGCTTTAATTAAACTACCCTTAAGAGTAACAGCTCATCAGTGTGATCAAGTGGCTCAAAGTTTGGCCCACAGATTCTGTAAGTGGGGGGGGGGGGGGGGAGGGGAAGGAAGGGAGGGAGTCAAGTTTGAAAAATAATACCTATTTGACCTATTTGTTTTTGGGGCAAAAGCACACTTTGGAGTAAAATTGATTATGCCCGAATCCTAAGCAGCTACAGAAGTGTATGGTGTTAAAATCTGTAACAGAATAGTCCTGAGCTTCGTGACATTTTCCTAACCAGCCCCAATCTCCTTTGTTATACAACTGTCGTTTCAATATCTGTTCATAAGGTACAGACAGACAGACATCTGTAATTAGGACACAGTGATTAGCTGTTTGATTAAAGAGAGACATGCTCTACTTTTTCTAGGTCTCAAAGGTAACTTTCAAAATAAAAATGTTTTCTCTCCAAATACCCCAACACCAGCAATCTTTTAAAACAACTTGTGAAGCCAGAATTTTAACTAAGCTATTGCTTATGGATCTGCATGAAGAACACTTCACATCCAATGGCCTGGATTAGATTTTTCTCTTCCAATATAACAGGGTTACTGGGGAGAGACAAAATGTGTAATTACCTCAGAACAGAGAAGACTCTTGCCATCTTGCCAATTGCACGTATTTTGTTTCTGATTATTTCTTTTCGTGCTGCAGCTGTACCTACTTTCAATGGAATAAAAGAAGGTCTCAAGCTCATGAAGAGAGGGCCACAATTCTATAAAAATGCATTAATTCAGTACAATTTTGTAAATTCAACAACTCTCCTAAGAGAAGTCCAACACCCAAAACATTTAAGTGTGTGCTGATTATAAAACTGGCCTTGCTCACCTAAAGGAGCCAGTAAAACCAATGCCTCATCCACAAAAAGAAAAAAACCTCAAGTGAATCTAGTTATCATCAAAACCACTGATATTGTAACTTTCACAACTATCACATTTCATTCTCATGGCTTTTCTATTACTAAATTCTTCACTGACACCTGAATCAATTACAAGCCCTACCAGCACAACATAGTGGCAGCTGATATGTACAAGACACAAAAGGTCACTGTTCTGGTACTGATTCTTTGGCAGACCGTACTAACCAAGGGTAAACAGCCTTTCTGCATAGGCTTGCAAAACAACACACACACACAAAGATAGAGACAGACAGACAGACATACACACACAGAAAAATTCAAAACAAAACCAAAGAGTTCAGTGGCAGACGGTTGCAGAGTCAGCTGGAATATGTGAGGACTCCTTTACCTCCCAATTCTAGGGACTATCTATTCTCGCTTGTAAATTTGCACCATTTGCAGGAATTACCATTACCAAAGGACTGGAATAAATGCTGCATGTTCCACAAAAGAGAGAGAGAGACTGGTTGGGAAAGAAATAAATGCAAACAAAAATTACCAACGAGGCTTTGGAGTGGGAAAAGGAGGGCCATCACTGCCTCCTTTTGATCTGCTACAGCGCAGGAGCTCCCTCCTCATCCCTACCATTTATTTTGGTTTAGTTTACTGTGGATAGAAGGAAGGCCCCACAGCTAATTTTTTCTTTCCCTTGCTGACCCTCAAATGGAGAGATCAGCCAGAGACCAATCAACACCATTAAAACTATGGACACTTCAAAAGTCTCCTCCGAATATTCAGTCATCTGGGGAAGAAACCATCCACACTCCGATACATGGAGACATAGCCATATGTTGCATTCCAGCAAAGCAGGCCAAAAGGCGGAGGGTGAACTTGGAATGCCATATTATATATTCCACACCTTCCACAAACCAAGTGCAATACAATTATTAATCTGAAACACATTCAGCAATATTATTATTCTCCCAGAGATTCACATAACCATTATAAATATCACATGAAACTGATGTGTTCATTATTATTAAAAATATTTCCTTCGAATGACAGAATTTGTACAGACCTCAAATATTTTGTTGACCAAATGATCACACAATCAGAAAAATATTTCTGAACAAAAATGTCTACAGTTTGGGATTTGGGAAAATGTTTGTTAGCTACTATAGAGTTAAGTTAATAGATCCATTTTCAACTATTATATCGACACCTCTGTAAAATTGCACAGCATACATATTACTTTTTTCCATCTAAAACTAATTAGAAGATGCTAAACGTACTATATAAACAAGATTTTGGAACATTTTCTAAACATATTTCATGCACAATTTTGAAGTAAAATGTTTACACTAAAAATCATTATAAAAAACAAGACAAAGGTGAATGCTCCCTACACATGCAGGTCCAAAGATAAAATATTAGAAAGAGATAAAAGAATGAAATTCTATAAAAAAGAGGAATGGAAGAAAGGAGAAATATTTTCATGCACAGAAAGACAAATGTCTTGGAATAGGACTTCTGATTACACAAATACAAATCTTTATAAATATTTTAACAGACTGATAGTAAAACAAAAATTCTACAAATCTCAGTATATAAATGTGTTCTGTACTATTAACATTCATACTATGGATCTATGAAGTCATATTTCAAAACATTACTATTCTGTCTGGTCTGTACCTTTTTTATTGTCATATGAGAATTGTACTTCAGATAGAGAGTGCAGAAAAAAAAGAAGTGAACGATGGAGAAAAAAAGTGAGTGAGATAAATTAAAAAAAACCCCCAAGATATTTTACCTGGCAGTACTAATAAAGAATGAATTTGGAAAAGAAAAGTGAAGGAAACGAAAAATTGCCACACTTAAATTAGTTGAATAAAAAGTGGAAAATGTTGGATACATTTTACAATTCTGATAAGCAAGGAAAATTTGTCAAGTATTTGGAGAATCTATTTATGAAGAGAAGATAGAATAGACCAAGCAAAGAAACTGTTAAAGGAGATGAGATAAAAATATAAAAACAATCAAAATTAGGAAATAGTTCAACTACTGTACCAAAAGAGGGAGCATACTCAATAAATGCTGAGTAAGTCTCTGCTGGAGAAACTAAGTAAAAGCCTGTCATTTTAGAGAATGAAATAATCGCTTAAGCATATGAATATTCCACCCCCACCCCTCCCCAAATGCAATAGGATTACTCATGTGAGTAACACTGTATGTTTGTTTGTAGGATCAAGACCTAAGGCTGTATTTTTAATTTTCACGTTTCTGGCAACAACATAAATGCCAGGAAAGTTCAGGTAGCTCATACAGATAATCAAAACCTTCAAGACCTGAACATACAGCTTTTACTACAGTACAATTTCTTTGTTATTGTTTTTAATATAAGAAGTAAGGATTAAATTCTGAAGCCCCAAAAAACAGAGAAAGTGTCAAGAAAGGTATATAACAATTGCTGTTTATCCAAGTGTAGTATCAAATCAACTGTACTCTTCGGGTAAAGTAAGTTCTAGGAATTTTTGAAGATGTTTTGTTGAACAGTACACTAAATAATATTATTTAACAAGATTATATTATATTATATTACAAATATAAAAATACTATCTAAAGAAAAGAAAAAAACCCTAAAGACAATAAAAAAAATTTCCAACATATAATACAACTGGTCAAAGTCTCAACCACTACTATAGAAACGTTTCCATGAAAATATAGTACTTTAGATACAAAGGTGACCTTACCGTCAAATTGATCTTCTCCCTCTGTCATTAATTCATCATCAGAGCAAATGCTCAGAACATTCACCAACATTTCTGTTACTGTGTTGAAAAGAATAATAATGAATTAACCAACTATACACTGCTACATATATTAATTCATATATGAGGTGTAACAAATTGTCTGCACATATGGCTGACAAAATTTCACACCCCAGTATGTATTTTTTCAGCTGCTCAGCAATCTACTCTCCCAGACAGAGACACTTTTCATCACGTGTATATTCCTGGAATGAAACGTAACAAAATATGATGATAAGGTAACACCACTGTCCAAAGACAGAGTGCTGGAATAGCATCACAGACTTCCCTCTTTTCCCACATCCATGGTCCAGAATTAGTTCTTTTTAGAAAGGATCTCCTTTCATAAGTTATGATATTTCTACATTCAAGCAATCTTGAATCTGATGAAAAACCAATAAACTCTAAGCTGTATTTGTACAAAAGCTGATCAATTCAGACTAAATTTTGAGCAGTTAGCTAGTATCATTAAAAAAAAAAAGTGGCTCTAAATGCAGCCTTTGCAGCCTTTCCAGTCTCCCCGATTAACCATAACATGGTGCAACAGAGAAGGGATGAGAGAGAAAACCAGTGGGGGAAATGGAACCCAATATTTAAAAATATTTATATTTATCCATTTGTGACATGGATAAATGCCAACATAATATTTATATCAACTGAAAAATAAATGGACACTACATGCAAAAACACCTTGCCCTATTAAAAAGGATGATGGACCACCCCCTTTCATGTGCTTGAAAAGAGTGTCCTTAATGTAAAAAGTTGTGAATCTGCTCCAATTAGGTTACTCTTTTAGGAAGGTACCTTGTAATTCCATGCAAGTGTATAGATGACAAGAAAAAAAAAAAAGAAAACTGTGAATCTTTCAAAGTATTTAGTGAAGGCACACAGAGGAGAAAAAAAGTTTAAACCAGATTTTCAAATAATCTTTAAAGTATATGGGGAACACTTCACATGAATTTGGAATACCCTATATTAATAAAATGACAAATCATCTTAGGGATCTCTCTAGCACTTATAACTGTACTATCTAATGGGTCCAAGCTAAATCGAATAATTTCACGTGATGCTTCGCTGACTACTTAGCAAACAAAGGCTACGTCTACACTGCACAATGCTAGCAGCAGTACATAGGGTATGTGTAACTACATTCGGCAGCAAAAATCAGGGTGCACCCACACTGCAGTGTGTAGCTACATGTCAGTGAAAGGTACTAGGGCAGAAGGAATGCAACAGGGAAAGGCTCAGCAGAAAGGAGTTGCTGGAGCCTTTCCCCACTGCCTCCCCCCTACCTAGGGTGACCAGACGTCCCGATAAAATCTTTTTGCTCAGCCAGGGCAGGACCCGTTTTTGTTGTTTTTTTGCTCAGCCGGCGGGCACCCCCCCCCCCCAATTCTTCCCCTCATCGGCCTGGTCTACACTAACCCCCCCACTTTGGACTAAGGTACGCAAATTCAGCTACGTTAATAACGTAGCTGAATTCGAAGTACTTTAGTCCGAAGTTACCGCGGTCCAGACGCGGCAGGAAGGCTCCCCCGTCGATGCTGCGTACTCCGCTCGCCGAGCTGGAGTACCAGCGTCGACGGCGAGCACTTCCGGGATCGATCCGGGGCACTTCCGGGATCGATTTATCGCGTCTTAACCAGACGCGATAAATCGAACTCAGAAAACCGATTGCTTACATCCGGACCCGGATGTAAGTGAAGACGTACCCATCTAGTCACCCTACCGGAGCCTTTCCCCTCTGCTGGAATGTTTCTCTGCAGCAGGGAAAATCTGTGGCAGCTCTTTGCTCCCGCAGTCTTTCCCCACCACAGGGAATTGCTGGAATCTTTCCCTGTAGTAAGAAGCAGCTCTGGTAGCTCACCACTCCAGGCGCCTTTTCCTGGAGTCTTACCCTGCAGTGGGAAAAGACCTAGCAGAAAGGCACTACACTGCTAAAAATAGCAGTGTAAGGTGAAGCAGGGGCACACTGTTTGGGTGAGCAGCGTACATATCTGGGTACATTCATACTCACAGGATTCAGGTATGTCCTTACTCTACCTGCCTGAGCAGCGCCTGACTGCCTAGACTGCTATTTATACCCGTGCTAGCTCTGCACGTAATGTAAGGACTCTACACTCCTCTAAAGGCATTGTGAAGTGTAGACTAACCTAAAGAGAAATCCCCTTATACAAATTCTACAACTGCAAACTTTATTTTCTCAACCAAGACAATCTAATGAGCAACAAACAAAAACACAATCTTTAACCTGGTAGTAGGTGCTCTCATTAAAAGAATCTCAACAGTACAGAAAGTTCATTTGTCAAAAGTCAAACATGTTTGTATGCAGTGTTGTTGTAGCCATATCAGTCCCAGGATATTAGAGAGACAAAGTGGGTGAGGTAATGCCTTTTATTGGACCAACTTTTGATGGAGAGAGAGACAAGCTTTCGAGCTACACAGAGTTCTTCTTCAGGTCTGAGTGCCTTTCCCAGAGTGTTACAGCTAAGTACAAGATCAAACAGATCTGTGCTATTTACGCTAAACTATCAGTTTGATCAGCTGCGACGCTCTGGGAAAGGCACTCAGACCTGAAGAACAGCTCTGCGTAGCTTGAAAGCTTGTCTTTCTCACCACCAGAAGTTGGTCCAATAAAAGGTATTACCTCACCCACCTTGTCTCCTCAAATATATTTGTAAACAGAATGGATTGACAGTTTGCAAGAAATTTAAGATGAAAGTAATGGTCAATGAATTATTATTCTCCCACACCTTACCTCCCAACTTTCTTGAGTCAGTGATTGGGGGAGTTGAGAAATGCTTGTCATATGCCTCAAATTATACTAGTGGTATAACTGAGAACACACATTATCAGGGTCAAAGATAGAGAGGTCCAGATGCCCAGCCAGTTTATTGGCAAACTGGCATTATGCTAATTTACACAACTGAGGATCTGGCCTTGAGATTTAGAGAGAGCCTGGTCCAAAGTGTGACAATTCACTAGATTCTTGGTAGTTATTTTTTCTTTAAATCTGTCATTCTATTGCCAATTAAAAAAACAAACACACACAACTTCACTACAACAAAGCTCTGAACCTGCACTCTGAAAGAGTATGGGGACATAGCTTCATGTATAAAAGTGTACAAGTCTCTTCAATTTTTAACTTTTGCCAATGCAAATAGTTTAAAAAGGAAACAGGTTGTGGAAGTATAATTAAACAGTTATATTTTTATGCCAAGTAAAGTTGTCAGTCTTTTTAAGAACTGAATAGTTTTACCAATCGCTCTAAAAATATTCCCCTAATGCATATTTATAAATATGTTTCACTGCTGTTTAAAAAAGTGAATTTTAAGCTCTAAATATGTGCATTATATGTAAAATATGAAATTACACATATAGTTAACCATTACTTCCACATAAATGTAGAAGGCAGCATAAAAGGAAAATAAGTAATATATTTCCTAAATAAGAGTGCAATGTAATTGTACATCAACAAATACGTATTAGAGAAGTTACAGCATTATTTACTGTTATTTGCAAAGTGCCTACAATGTGCTTGGCACTTTGTAACATAAGATATATTATACTCTCATACAACAGAAGTCCTTTAAATGACAAGGACTCATAGTCCAGAATTTCCACATTTTGTTCCTGTGAGACAAGAGACATGTAAACTCCTCTGACAGATTTTAAAAGTAAATTTAAACAACATTACACTACTTTAGGCATATTAAATATGCAAAATCCTCAGCTAATAATTTAAGGCAAGAGTCAGAGTTAAAAACTGATAAAGAAAGTTTGATTTTCCGCATCAGGGTTTCCCATTATTATATTTTTAAAATATTCAGAGAGCCCAATGTTTACACATTTTATAAAAAGACATTCCCTGACCCAAAAATCCTCTACAATTCAACACAAAGATGTACTATCACTCCTCATGTAATTTTTTTTAAAGTTATCATAAACCTCATTAAATTCTCATATCCTTTTCTGTATATCCTTACACATCAATGGTGACGTATGCATAAGTGAGTGCATGTATGGGGAGAGAGACATTTTCTATGCATTATTTAGAAGCACACAAACACTTTGAAATATCCAGGTTGGGGAGAGTTTAGCTTTTTTTAAAAAATGCCATCGGTTATATTAAAACAGATGAACTAGCAGCAGGGCTCAAGTATAATAGCACAACTATTACAACATCCTTCTCTACAAAGCTGTAACACAGAATTTGATATTCCTGCATGTTACCCCAGAATGTGACAGTACTGCAGCAGTCAGCTATTTTGTGTGTTCAGTCACGACTAGCTGAAAATCAAACATCACGTAGCTAGGAATAATTTTAGGCCCAGGAGCAAGGCCAGGCAGCTGCATGTCTGCAGTTCTGCTAATCAAAATGGAAGGAATGTTTGGACAGACGACCTTGGTTTTAGGTGCCTGAGACAAATTTTATTGTTGTTATGACTAGAAATGCTTTGATAAGAAATGAGTAGTTTGCTGAAACTAGAAGAATTGGTGATCCATCAGGGCTTACTATGGTGATCCACTAGGAGTCGCTATGAGTTATGTGCTTTATTTAAGTTAGCTATAAAAGATTAGGCAAAAGGATTCATTTGGAAGTAGTCAGAGGACACCAAAACTCCTCAGCAGCTGGAAGGAAGGAGGGCCCTTGGAAGCCTGACTGTTAATTCCTCAAAACCACCTCACACTTTGATAAATTTAAAGGTTTAGTATGCTCTGAACCAGCTGCTACAGCGTGCGTGTGTGTGTGCTTGAGACCTAATAATGAGTAGTTTTAGATAAAAGTACTCTTGTTTGTATCAATCATGTATCAGATGGAGGAGCTGTGTCCCCACTGATTTATTCCTTACGCTGCCTGGAAAGAAACAGTTAAGTTATCACTGCTCTGGGTTTTGAAAACCCTGGGTAACAAAGCCTGTGAGCAAGAACCCCAAAAGTGATCCTGATTTGGGTCTCCTGACTGAAGAATGGACAGCCCCATGGCTTTTTAAATGTAATATTTAAAAGGATTTTAAATTAAAAATGCTTCTTTAAACAGTTTTTTTCTATATCAAGAATTCAGAATGATCAGTCAACAGTAAAATGGAGATAATTTATATTTTGGCATTTTCTCAACTTTAATTATGGTCTGAATGAAACTCAATTTTAAGATCCAAGGGGGTTTGGATCTGTATTCACCAGGAGTTGGTGAAAGGAGGGTGGGAGGAAGGAGGGGGGATGGTTAATTTCTCCTTGTTTTAAGATCCAAGGGGGTTTGGATCTGTGTTCACCAGGGAATTGGTGAAAGGTTTCTCAAGGCTTCCCAGGGAGGGAATTCTTGTGATGGTGGCAGCGGACCAAAGCTAAGCTGGTAGATAAGCTTAGAAGTTTTCATGCAGGCCCCTACATTTGAACCCTAAAGTTCAAAGTGGGGATGCATCCGAAGAAGTGGGTTGTAGCCCACGAAAGCTTATGCTCTA